AAGGAAAGGAAAGGAAAGGAAAGGAAAGGAAAGGAAAGGAAAGGAAAGGAAAGGAAAGGAAAGGAAAGGAAAGGAAAGGAAAGGAAAGGAAAGGAAAGGAAAGGTGAGTTTAGTGCTCTTTTGTCCTGGTCCAAACACTGTCCTACACTCCCTGCCCTTCCTGGATGTCCTTCCAACCTTCCAGGGTGTCCAACTGCAAGGACTCAACATTTGGGCTCTGGGAGCAGGGTCTGTGTTGTCCCCAGGGGCTGGTTCATCAACACAGCCCCAGTTCTGGTTTTTCCAACTCCAAAGGCTTCCTGGGCTGAGAGTCATTCCTGCCAGAGGGAAATATGGTTTTACCAGGAGTCTCTTGGCCAGGCAATGGCAGAAATAACCCTGGTTTGGGATTTCTGGGGTCCAAACACCCTGTACTTCATTCAACAATTTAAACCAAGCTCCAAAAAGGGGCTCTGTGGCCTCAGCTGGGCCAGGAGGCAAATTCTGGGCTAGGAGGGCTCAGCAGGAGTTCCTTCCTTCCCATTAAAGGGCTTCCTAATTAATCCTGCCCTTTCCAAAGGGGCCAGCAGCCCTGCTTTGCTTCTTTGAAGCCCAGGGGGGAGTTAAATGCCATGTGGGGAGGGAAAAAGAGAAAGCAGGGGAGAAAAAAAAGGCATTTGTGATCTCCAGCCCTGTGGAGGGAGGAATTAGGGCTGGGAAATCCTGCTGGAGCCCAAGCAGGGACTCAGACACACGTGGGGAAGGTGTTGAAAGCCAAGCTGAGCTTGGCAAAGCCTCTCTGGGATGAGTTTGTCTGTCAGCAGCGAGTGGCAGGTCACAATTTGCTGGTTGGTGTCATTTATATCCTTATTTATTTGCATCATGAGGCAGGTGGGGCACAAACAAAGCTGGGCCTGGCCAAGCTGAGCTCCAGAGGACTTTTCCAACCTTTATTATTCCTTCATAGTCCAGTCAGTGGAAAGAAACACCCCCCCAGGATGGGGCTGAGCCCCCCAAAATGAAGCAGGAACTGAGACAGCTCAGGGTCTGATCATTTCCCTGGGTCGTTCACTGGGGCTGTGGCTTTTCCAG